TTTTTTTTTTTTTTTGTTTTTTTTTTTGTTTTTTTTTTTTTTTTTTGTTTAAAATCAGATTATTGAACCCATAAGGTTGTGTAGCACAACCAAAATACATATTCTGTGACAACATTTTTCCAAGCATGCCTTACTCAACATACTATTTCATTTCTCCCATTGCCAAAATTCCTATCAGATGAGGTGCAGATTGTGTATCTGTATTATTTCATGGGTAAAAACCTTGTGTATGGTAGAACATTCAAGGAATCTCATGATTGCACCTGGTTAATAATTCCAAGGAGGGGATTAACTCTCAGGATTTACATCTCTAAAAGAAGAGTAAGACGACTGGTAACTTACAGTGAAGATATATAGTCAGCCCAGATAAGGAACCCAGCAGACCAATAGATACAGAAAGGCCAATTTACAGTCAACAACAAGAATTGTTTAATTGTTTCTGATTTTGTGCTCTGTTCAATCACATTTAAGCATGAAAGGTGTGTGCGTGTATGCATGTTTCTGCTTGTGTGTAAACAATTATGCCCATATCAATCTATTCACCTAAACTGTGTGTGTGTGTGTGTGTGTGTGCATGTGCATGTGTGGATGAATGCTTGATATTAATTTCAACATGAAGACATCATTCATATATAAAGACTTATGACATGCTGCTTTTAAACTTAATTAACTGAAAATCCAAGAAATCAGATCAAACTAGATACCACTATCTGACTCTCTATCCAATTTACTGTCTGTAGTCATATTTCTGGAGTAACAGATAAGTTTGTTCTCTGTCTGCACAAAAAAAAATGCTTCTCTCACTGCATTGATTTCTACTATGTGGATATATCTAATTTAGACATTGGTTGGGGGCCAAACCAACATTTTCTCTTGACCGCCCAGACCTAATCAATTATTGTAGAACACAGATGGCACTTCTTAATTGGCTATTTTTCTAAAATGACCAATGTCTCATATCCTGTCAGTTGTCTGAGTTCAATGTACTAATTTTATTCAATTTGAAAGGTAGAAGGCCATTGACAGAAAATTATGGGATAAAATCCCTTTGAATTCCATCTGACCTCACCTTTAGAAAAATCTAACAATCACAGTAAGCATTAGACCTTTACATAGCAAAAATTCAATTTTTTGGAAATTTGAACACTTCTCCATTCATCACAGCAAAACCATTCATGGAATTACCATCCATAAACCTGTTTTACAGTTCTAAGTATCTCATTTATGAGTTACTTTCTTAATGAAATAATAAGTGCAAATGGGTTTATAGGCTGTAATTTTCTCATCAATTTTGGTTATGGTATATATACCATGGTGATAAAGAGAAAACTGCTGAAATTTCATTGAATTATTCATATTTTTGCAATAACAATTAGGTTTAACACAAGTTGTTTGCCTATAACTATTCAGCCAATGAACCTTTATAATTTGTCCTGGAATACAAATTAAATCAGTTCTTAGCTTTTCATCTTCTAAAAAGCCCTTCATTGTCACTTCGGGACAAAAAATTCTTTAAGCCTACTAATTCCGAGAGAGCCAAACTCAGTTTTCACTCGCCAATATTTTTTATTATTGCATACAGCCTATTCTTTCCAAAAAGCCATGACATTTAGCACATTGAAGCATCTGATTTAGCCAATAAAGTGCTGTATTTGCCAGACCCAGAGCACTGATTGATTTCTATAAATTGCCTCAAGATTTCACAAAGGCAATCTATGCTTTGAGTGAAACCACAAAACAGGTTAAAAGAGTGTGTTGACAAGTAATGATGTAAGCAAAAAAAATCTATTGGGGCTTTGGAATGTATATTGGTCCACTGCATTTCATTGCAAGAGTGGTTAAATATTCTATATAAAAGGAATAAATAAATAGGTTTGTTCTTAGTGCAGTTGTAGGATAAAGAATGACAGACATTTCAATTACTGCAACTAATTTCCTTACTTCTCACATATATCTGACTAACAATTTTTAATGCTATTAAGATCTCTGCCAGAAAGAGTCCCAGCACTAAAAAATATTTTGCCAAAGTAATTTTCTTTAAAAAAATTTATGCCAAAAAGTTGCAGAATGTGGCAGCTCATATCATCAATATAATTTTCCTTTAAATAACAAGTGTTAAAATGCAAGGCATGTGACAAGAATCCCACCCAAAGTAGCAGCAAAGGTGTTTATAATGAACCAGGGGGATATTAAATGCACTCAAGACGTAATAAGATAAAAGCCAGCTCAACTGATCAATAACCACCGAGGGTCAGGATTCATTCTCTTTGCACAGCCATTAATGGAACAACACGCTCTTTTGTGGTCCACCAACCAGCACTGTGATTATATGATCTAAGGGCCCATTCCCAATGAAACGAACGCTTAACATAGATCCATCCAACTCTGTAGGGATTCTCATTGACAGCAATCAGATATGCTGTATGACGGGCTTCCTTGAGCAGGTGGTGGGAAAGGGGGGTTAATTTTAGCATTTGGTCACACTCAAAACGAAGTGCACATGAAAGTTAATCACCCCCTAGCTGCTCCAAGGAAGAGCGTCATTCAGTGAGTCCCTGCAGAGTTGGATTAATCTTCATAAAACTAGTTTCATTGGGAATGGACCCTAATACTTTTTAATGAACACATATGACTATAATGTCTCAGTACACATATAATCTATCTTCAATGTGAAAAGTTTAATGTTTCCGTCCATTTTAATCAGGATTAAAAGCACATCAAAGCATTGTCATTGTCAGACCATTAGTCCCTTTAGTGATTATCTGGGCATTTTCCAGGGTTAATGCAAGTTCTGTTATATATTGATCACCTGAGAGAGAAAAGCTTTGTAAATGTGAGCCCAAAATAATGTCACCTGCTTTAAGGTAACCATTTACTGTTGCAGTAACATTATGACTATAAAATATGAAACTATTATAAAAGTGGACTTGAGAGGGAGAGGGAGAGAAGAAAAGACTGATTATGATACAGTATTTTATATTGTGAGATGGTCTTAACTCATCTCCCTTTGCAGAAACATATAGTCTCTGGATCAGATTCTGCACAACACCTGATAATTTTCGTCCAAACATAATTTAGCCTCAAATACATTTTCCAGTTATTCAACTTGATGCTCAGTAATGTTTCCCACCTTCTTCATCCGAGACCACAGCAGAGTGTCTCAAGCTCAAATCAAATTTTAACTTTCATACAAGTTTTGCTAACATTTAATTGAAGTTTCTGCCACATACATAAATCAGTAAATCTTTACCTTTTTCCATATAATTCAACCTCCCCTTTACCTTGTTTCATAGAAACCTATCTACAATTAACCTTAAACATTTAGACACTAAAATACAAATCAAATGAGCTTTGATATTTAGTATTTCTTCCATAGACTTCTTCGGGAAACGGGAAACGGAATTTACTGCCACTACATACTGTTATGTAACAGTGCAGATAGTCTACCAGGGCCCAGCCTTTATATTAAATGTGATTGGAAATGCAGTCCACCATGTCTGTTCAGGGATGGTTTCACTATCAGTATCCTCTAGTAGACCACCTCCTTGAAACCTCTTAGGAAGGACTTGACAAGGACTACTATGTTCTCATATCAAGGGAGTGCTAGAGTCTTTAAGGTATATGAATATAGCTGAATATACATTGGGGCTCTTACCAGCTTTACTTTAGTATCCCTTAAAGTATCCAAAAACTACAACAGGAACATACCTTTGCCTTGTTCCATAGAAACATATCATTACTTTACCTTGTTCCATAGATATCAATGGCAGTATTACCTTGTTCCACACATCCCATTTCTGTGTGGTCAATCCTGATGTGTTGTCTCAACACACAGGCCTGGCGGTGCAACTCGCAGTGACTCGGGTACCATACCCTGTTGGTGCCACAGACTTTTTTATGGTGACCAAGACAAAGCTTTTCGTCTCCACATTCGCACTTCCCAAAGCCATCTGCGTTCACTTTACATGCCCGTCCCAGCTGGCACCACACTCCAGCACATGGGTCTGGAGAAAAAAAAAGTTTTTTTTTTAATCTACAGAAAAATCCAAAATACAACATAACTATTTAACCATCACATCTTTCCTTTTGACACAAAACATCGTCTGGCCCATTTTTTCCCAAATGAGAATTATTTTTCTCTTAAAGCAAACATGATACTTATATTATTTTTCATCATGGCATGTCTTTTCAAAATGGCCCTTGCTAAATTGTTCTAATGTAAGACAATTAAAAAAACTAACACAATATTTTTTCACACAATGTCCTAGCTAACACAATATCAAAACTAAAGCACTGATTCTGACCAGATGCTAAATCTAATCAGAAGAATACTTACCTTTTGTAACTGTTTCATCGTCCTTCTTTTCCTCAGCTGACTTGTCTACATGTGGCTTCCTGGGAGCACTTGGCTTCTGTTCTCTTTCCTTCGTCACCTGAATGTGCATCTTTGGAAGATCGTCTGCTTCATCATCAAAGAAGCCATGCTGGAACACAGTAAAAAAAGGCATTTGTATGAAATCTGTTATGAAATTGCACAATTTGAAATTGCACAATAAAAACCATACATGTACTAGTAATTCAAAGGAAAATGGGAAGAAAGAAAGAAACCCACAAAATAACAATTATCTCGCCTGGCAAGAAAACAATTTATGTAATCTTTTAAAACCTTGATCGAAAACTACAAATTGCTGCCCAAATGTGCTCCAGACAATACTTCTAACACCAAATCAATACACATCATGACACAGAACTTGATATGTGATGTAACTGTAGATTCAACCTTCTGTTGCTTTTTGTTTTTTACAGTTGTATAATACATCAATCTTTTTAATGGGGAAAATTACAAATTTTACAGATACTGTATTTTTAAGTCGAAGTAGCATAAATAAATTAAGCGAATCCTTTATAACTAGACTGAAAATTCGGTCACAGATAGCAGATATCAGATTAAGGGGCCACGTTTTCAAGACCTAATTTATTGTAAAACCGACCTATTCATCTCCAATATTTACTCTGTCAGTTTACTGCCCTCTCAATCTCTTAGTAACACCACAGGTTACTATAGCATACAATCCCTTTCAGCCAAGTATCTGCATAATTTCAGTAGTTCACTAATAAAAAGTAACTATACATTGGTCAAAAACACCCTTTGCCAATTAAAAAGGGCTCAATATTTCACTGATGTGTACTGTAACTGATTTTTCTTGGAACAACTTAAAGTCTAAAATTCTTTTGTGCAACTGGCCCAAGAAGTCAGCTTGGCTAAATGATAAGCCTTTGACAGTTTTAAACTATCTTCACATTTAAGGATTTGCTCAACACATCATGTGGGCAGATAAATTAATTTACTAAGAAGCTGTACAGACAGTTGTTAGCTTATGGTGGCTTTGTGAAATTTGCCTTGATTGGCCACAATGCTATGAGAGGTTGGGATTTATGTAATGGGCAGGCAAATATTTCACTCAATTATGCCCTTTAAGAAGAAACAGGGACTGTATATTATGGTCTTTATTAAATGAAAGCATCGGGTTTTGGAAACACTAAAATTAAAAAGGAAAAAAAAAAAAAAACACAGGCCATATAATTTGATTCCATCTTTTTTGAACTGTAAGGCAGTCTATGCCTGCAACAGCTAGGACTGTACCATATATTTAATAATCAATAGCCCTTTGGGCAAGTTCACATTTAGCAAATAACCAGATGGTCTGAAGTACCAAGTTAAACATGGGACTTTTATTTGCATTCAATTCTCCCAAACAACTATACCTATGCACGCTTTTCCACTTGTTATCATTGATTTGACAGGCAGTACTCAAATTTCTCTTCATTTTAGTCCATAATGGAATTTCATGATTTTTAAAATATGTCAAGAATAATTAAAGACAAATTATCCTACTTTTCGATGTCCCTAAAGCACAATTACTGCTTTTACCCCACCCCCTTAAAAAAATCTCCTTTGACCCAATCAGAATGATCTGTGAAACCTTCACAGAACTGTGCAATTTTATTTTTGCATCCCCAATTTGTGACAGCAGTTGAAGTATTTACCAACCATGCTTTAAAAAGATAATGACCATACAAAATGCTTTATTCTACTCTCCATTAAACAAGAAATATTACCCAGATCTTCTTTTGAATTCTGAGCCATTTCTCCCCATTAAAAATTCTAAGGGTCTCCATTTTCAATAGCAAGGTTCAATTGTACAATTACCATTTTGTATGTCTTGTGGTGGATTCAGTTTACAGTTTGTTTGAAGGAGGGTTTAAAAGTTAAAAGAGGTGTTCATGAAAACCCCAAAGCATGAAGCAATGAGACTCTTAATTAAATAATAGATATAAATATGGCAAGGCAGTAAGAGAAAGGAGGGAGTAGTTGAAACCAGACCCAGAAGAGAGAGAGGGAGACTCCAACTAAAAAGAAAACACCACTAATCTCTACATGTATTTGAAACCAGAAGCACATTACAGATGTTCAATGAGTTCATTATATATCACATTTCAAACAATTATAAGGTATCCCTGAGAAGTGGACAAAAATGATGATCGAAACTGACAAGATGGAAAATAAAAAGTTGCTTGGACGATAATTCAAAGGCTTGCCATGTACGGAATGCCAGTGACATGATTAGAACACAAAATTCCACTTAAACCCCAGTGTGAAGATTATTAACTCAGGAGGAACACTGTATAAATTAAATTTTACAATAGGTTCCCAGAATTTTTATAATAATGTCGTATTTTTAATCTTATTTATTTTTTATTATTATTATTATTTTTTACTAACCACTGGAAGCTTTGACTTTACTTTTTTTGATACAATTTTACCTACCAGTGACAAGACAAAGCAGTCATATAGAGAACCTAACATCTGCTGAGGGACAGATTCACACAAAAACTTAGACGAAAAGTTAATCTTAAATTTACAATGGAATATTTTGGCACATTTGAATTTATGATTTTAGTTGTCTTCTAAGAGTAACTGTGAATAATTATACCATTAAAAATACAAATATGTTTGTCTTATTATGAAAGATACCTTAGACATCAACCATTTCTTTCCTTTCATAAAACAGATCCAAGGCAATGCATTACTATTGCTTTAGATAAAACGGGCATAATATTTCATTTATATGGACTACCAGCGATTCATCTCGAGTCAAAGACAAACTACTTTGGCCCCAGTGACTGGAAGAATACCTGTCACCATATGAGCCTGGATGACCATATTAAACTAAACCTAGGCAGGGTTCTAGTAGGTAAAATATATATTCAAGTAGGGATGTGTATTATTACTGTTCTTCACATACATCGCACTGTCCCTTCAATTATATCATAAATTATAAACTCACATTCCACCTCCAACATAAACTGAAAGTAAATAGACTATGACACATTAGGAAATTAAAATTTAAATATGATGAACTTTTAGCCACACCATAAGACCCATTTCTCATCATGACAATAGCCCCAGCACCAAAGCCCCCTATTCATACAGTGACACTGATACAGCGCACACCACAACCAGAGCGCCGAGGCAAAAACTCAGGTGGGGATATCTGATATATCATAAAAAAGACAAAGCAATCAATCACTGAAGTCACCTAGGACAACAAGACTCCCGAGATATGCTCACTGTTTAAACACAATGGATACAAATCTACCTGCTATACGTACAGCAGTCTTTGAGGATGATGTATGTGGTACTGATCTAATATTACTGCATGATTCTGGCACTGAGTACACAAAACACAAACAGTTTTAAAATCATCAATCATCATCGAATCAAACAACAATGATCACCCCGCTTTTCATTATTAAAATTAAAGACTGCCATATTTCAAACAGAATATTTAGCAAAACTTGGGTTTTCAATATCAAATTAATGAGAACTGTTGTAATATTAATAATGATATTTTATGTTATGTTGCTCTTGGACATTTTACAGAATGGTAGAAATGCAGATCCACCAAATATCCAGACTAATCTCCGCTGTGAGTCATACACCACAAGAGCCTTATATTTCTGTTCTCTGGAGAAATCAATACATCGAGTTTTCTGTTGTTCCCTTAAATGTGTGGGTGTGGAGGATTCTTGATAATAAAATGTATATATCCTTCTTTTGACCTGAGCTTGAACAGCAAGATCTATACTTGAACTGCACCTGCAAAGCTGCTATGTGTAAATGTACTTTTCACTTTCAAACCTCACAAAAAAGGGTGTAAAAAATATAAAAATTTTGATTTTGCAGTTTCAAAGTTTTCATACTGTGAAATTTACAAAAACATAGTAAATATTCTGATATATGAAGTGGCAAATTATATTGTGTAGTCAATGATCAAACTGTCTATCTTGTAACAGATTGGGCAAGTTTAAATTTTGGTCAAATTAGTACTGTTTTACTAAACTAATAACAAAAATAAAAAAATACCCTTTTTATCACTTGCACTAGCAAAAATAACTTGTCTTCAGCATTTAAAGTAATTGTATGTGCTACCATGATCCGTATAGATTGCAGACAAACAGACGAATCAAACCAATATATCAAGCAGCCATCTTGAATACATCTCCTATGCCTCATTTCCCAGCCCGTTGCACAGTGGAGATAACAATGAAAGAGCAGTTATAGCAGGACATTTGAATCCATCTACAGCAGACCAACAAGTGCTTGTCAGTCGAATGCAGAGAAGAGCAGAAAACTGATCTTTACTTTTCAGCCCAAATGTCCAGTTCATTTCAACTTCAGAATATAAGTACTAGTAGTAGTCTGCTTAAAGAAAATATAATGCCAGTTACATAAAAAGACTAGAACCCATGGCCAAGGAAACCATTAGACAGATGTAACACCTGCATATCAAGACAGCACATACATCACACAAGATGGAGGAAAGAATGACTTGGACTTCTCTTCTCTTCTCTCTTGATGGGGTCTTTTTAAGATTTAAACGACAACAAATATTCCTTTTGTAGTGTTGTCGCCAAAAACATTTTACAAGATGGCAAGTCAAAGATGACAGACTTTACCAAAGGCCATAAAGGCTTTCGTAAAGTCTGGGATGATCCTGCTAGGAATATCCCAAGGAAAGAGTAAACATATAATTAAACAAGGCAGCAAAGATGTCATATGGACATAATCTAAAAATGAGAGAAAAAAATACAGGGACTATTTAAAATTACTTAGTGTGATAATGTATTACTTGGGTAACACAACGAAGCAAACAACTAATCCAATCTCCAATCTTAATATATGTAAAATTATAGACCCAAGATTTACTGTTATTTTAAAATTCCTTTGATCTTTTTCAATCTGATTTCTACAATACATAACATTGAGTCACTGTGCACATCTTCATCAATAAAATGAAGTTTTTTGACCGAATCTGTAAGATATCTCCAAAACACATAATGGCCTGGATCATATGACTATTTCTGATGTAAAAGGTTCATCAAGATTCAGTAGAAGATTAACCAAAGACTATCAAGAATCCCTTCAATACAAAAGGCAGGGGAAAAAACAAGGGAGAA